GTCACAGACAACAGGGGGGTGGGGGCATGCATGGGGAGGGTTTGGGATGGGAATGGGGGGATGAGGACAAATATGTAACACCTTAGTTGATAAAGAAATTTTAAAAAAAGAAAGAAAAAAATAATTTAAAAAAGAAAGAAAGAAAGAAAACCACAGAAGCCAAAATTCTGAGGTAATTTTTCATTTTTCATTTGGTGTAGCTGCAGTTCCAAGAGGCAGAGCCAAACAACTCTCTCCAAGCTCCCACCCTCCCTTTTTCTGTCATTAAACATTTGGGCCCCAGATGTGACTTAATCACTGAAGTGAGTGGTTTGGGCTGATGGACTGAATAAAGGAGGCCCAAGGAACCAGAAAGTACCAGGGAGATAGGTGAGAAGGAAGAGATTAGGAAATGGATCCTGTAAATCTGTTTGGGAACATCTGGGCTACTCTCGAACCTATCATGATGGATCTGCTCCTAATTAGCATTCCAAAGACTATAGAACTGAGCTAAAAGATAGACCTCTTACCAGGTCTCAGATTATCACTAGGTGACACACTCAGGGGACAGATCTGAACATCATTTAAAGCCTTTGAAACTTGAACTGACGTTTACCACAGCACACAAAAAGTGAGTTGGAACTTATTGCTTAAATCTAGCCAGGTCAAGTGCTGGCTAAGATAAAAACATAAACATTCTCTCGGATTTAAACAAGATCCCAAGTCTCATAAAGTGATATTCAAAATTTCCAGGACACAATCCAAAATTACTTGGCATTTGAAGAGCTATAAAATTCTCAAAAGATAATCAATAGATGCCAATGATGAGATAGACCACAGATGTTGGAATTATTTGACAAAGACTTTAAAACAGATATTACAAAAATCCTCAAAGGAAAAATTATAAATATTTTTTTTGAAATAAGATTAAAATAAAAAGTTAAAATAGAAGATAAAAAGATGAACCAAAAAAGAAATTTTACCAAAACACATTAACCAAATTGAAAAATTAATTGGAAGGACTCAATAGCAGAATGAAGATGACAGAAAAAAAGAAATAATAGTAAACTTGATGCAAGATTAATGGAAATTATTCGACTTGAACAAGAGAGAAAAGAAAAATTGGGGAAAAAACCCCCCAAAATAATAGAACCTGAAGGTCCTATGGGACGACTAAAGGTCTAATATTTGTGTCATCAGACTCCCAGAAGGAGAGAAGAAGGCAGGTGATGCTAGGAAAAAACCTGTAAAAATGATAGCTGAAAACAACATCTTTGGAGAAAGACAGATATCTATAAATTTTAGAAGTGGAGCAAACCCCAAATAGGATAAAATAAAATAAACCCATGCCCAAACACATCATACTCAAACTTCCAAACCATGACAAAGAAAAATTATTGAAACAGTTAGAGAGAAACAATGCATTGTCTTTAGGAAAATAACGATTTGGTGACAATGATTCTCTCATTAGAAACTGCAGAGATCAGCCCCCCAGAGTGGCTTCATTGGTTGGAGTGTCATCCCAGGCACTGAAAGGTTATTGGTTCGAATCCTAGTCAGAGCACATACCTAGGTTGTGAGCTCAGTCCCCATTTGGGGCATGTATGGAAGGCAACCGATGATGTTTCTCTCTTGCAACTTTCACATTGATATTTCTCTTTCACTCTCCCCTGACTTCTTCCTTTCTTAAAGCACCTCCTTGGGTGAGGATTAAAAAATAAATAAAACTGTAGAGGTCAAAAGGAAGTAGAACAACATTTTTCAAGGTTTGAAAAAAAAAAAAAAGAAAAAAGAACTGTCAGCCCAGAATTCTGTATACAGCAAAAATGTCTTTCAGAAATAAAAACATCCTCAAATGAAGAAAAGCTAAGAGAATTTGTACCCAACAGACCTACTTTAGAAGTGGAGCAAACCCAAAATAGGATAAAATCAAAAGGGAATTCTAAAATGAAAGGGAAATAATACCAGAAAGAAACCTGGAACATCAAAATAAAGAAAGAGCAGCAGAATTGGTAAATATTGGGGTAATTACAATAGACTATTCTTCTCCTCAGTGATCTCTTATGGTTGAAAACAAAAGCATAATATTGTCTGATGAAGTTTTTGGTATACATAAATGTGAAAAATATCTCTAACATAAAAAAAAAAGGCAAGGTAAGGGAAACTTTATGTGTGTGTGTTTTAAAAAATGTATTTTATTGATTTTTACGGAGGAAGGAAGAAGGATAGAGTCAAGCATCGATGAGAGAGAAACATTGATTGTCAGCCTCCTGCACATCCTGGGTATGTGCCTGCAACCAAGGTACATGCCCTTGACTGGAATCAAACCTGGGACCCTTCAGTCCATAGGCCGATGCTCTATCCACTGAGCCAAACAGGTTAGAGTAGAACTTTATGTTTTTAAGGTTTCTCTATTCTAATTGAAGTGACGAAGTATTGCTCATAGATAGATTGTGAAAAGTTAAGAATGCATTTATAACCTCTAAAGAAACCACTAAAAAATTTACACAGAACTGCTGTCAAAATTATAATGGATAAATGAGAATAGAAGATGAAAACCAAACTTGCTGCTGGGATCTCTTTGACCCCTTGCCCTGCGATTCCTCCTCCTCTCAGTGTTAAGGGTCCCTTATTTCTCATACCCGAATCCCTACCCTTACAACTTGCCCGCATATTTAAGTTCCCCATACCTTGTCCCAAAGCCTAGAACATGTTCCCAAACCTGGTAGGGGTCAGGTGACAAGCGAGAATGGATAGAAGACGTAAGATCTGAGGAAACCGTCAAAGGGTAAATGAATAGGAGGGAGATGAGAGTGGGGAAGGGTGCAGGGGAACAGGGTAAACAGAGACTCAGAGGAAGGGTAAAATATGACAGCAGAAATGGCAAAATATAGGATCGGCATGCAAACAGGGAAGAATCAAGGATACTTCCCCACTACCTGTTCAAGAGGTTGACGATAGCATTTATAGCAAGCCAGTTAGAAGCACAGAAGCATTTGAAATTTCTGAAAGGCAAAATGACACAGACCCATGTGAGCTTCAGTTTCAAATTTCCCTGGCCTCTCTAACGTGGAGGTACATATAACTTAATAGTGATTATAAGAAGGATTAGGAGGCTTTCTTCCTGCCTTCGTTCAGACAATATTTGTTGAACTATTAGGTTCCTGGAAATGTTCTAGGTGCTGTAAATAAACAACGATAGACAAAATCTCTGCTCCAGCTTGGGAAAGCATACAATTAGCAATTATACGATATGAAGCATTTCCAGGTGCAGAGGGGTTGCCCTTAGTGCATTGCTCTAACATAGGGGTCCATACGTTATTTCTGATTGGTGTTTCTGTTTTCTTGGGATATATTCCTAGAAGTGGGATTACTGGGCCAAATAGGAGTCCCATTTTTATTTTTTTGAGGGAACGCCATACTATAACCCACAGTGGCTGCACCAGTCTGCATTCCCACCAGCAGTGCAAGGGGGTTCCTTTTTCTCCACATCCTCACCAACACTTGTCGTTTGTTGATTTTTTGATGATAGCCATTCTGACAGGTGTGAGTCATACCTCATTGTTGGTTTGATGTGCAACTCTCACATAATTAGTAACTTTTGCAAGAAATAGCTCACCTCTCCAAATTTCAAGTGATGGACTAGAAAACAGAAAACACGGTGACAATGAGACTTAATGACACTCAGGTGGGCAGAGGACATAGCCTATTTATTTAGACCCTCCTCCAGTTCCTCATTGGCTGAATATTATTTGGTCACCTATTTCCTAATAGGTCTCGTAGGTCTTGCTGTCTCCCATTGAGCTACTTGAAAAAAAAAAGAAAAAAAAAAAGGGCTGGGGTCTTTTCTAGTTGCTCTTACCTCCCTTTAATCTAGGCCAGTGGTGGGCAAACTCATTAGTCAATAGAGCCAAATATCAACAGTACAACGACTGAAATTTCTTTTGAGAGCCAAATTTTCAAAACTTAAACTTCTTCTAATGCCACTTTTTCAAAATAGACTCGCACAAGCCGTGGTATTTTGTAGAAGAGCCACACTCAAGGGGTCAAAGAGCCGCATGTGGCTCGCGAGCAGGGGCTTGCCGACCACTGGTCTAGGGGGAATCTTCCTAAGACATGGGCTATCAGTCATGCATATAGCTTATACCTTCTCCCCACCCCCCCACATCCTGCTTGCTCTGGGGAAATTCAGTAATGGCCTGGCCACAGGCTGTTTGTTTCCTATGAAGATGAATCTTAGAGGCATGCTTCCTACACTTTGAGCATTTTTTTTTATGCTTCTTGGCCTTCTGTATGTCCACGCTGAAGAAGTGTCTATTTAGATCCTTTGCACATTTTTTGATTAGATTGTTTGTCTTCCTTTTGTTAAGTTGTATGAATTTCCTATATATTTTAAAAATTAACCCCTTATGGGATGTATCATTGGCAAATATGTTCTCCCATGCAGTGCGTTCTCTTGTCACCCTGTGGATTTTTTATTTTTTGCTGTGCAGAAGCTTTTTATTTTGATGTAGTCACATTTGTTTATTTTCTCCTTAGTTTTCATTTGTTCTAGGAGATATATTGATAAACGTACTGCTACAAGAGATGTCTGAGGTTTTGCTGCTTATGGTTTCTTCTAAGATTTTTATGGTTTCATCACTTACATTTAAGTCTTTTATTCATTTTGAGTTTATTCTTGTGTATGGTGTAAGTTGATGGTTTAGTTTCATTTTTTTTAAATGTACCTGTGCAATTTTCCCAGCACTGTTTATTGAAGAGACTTTCTTTTACTCCATTGTATGCTCTTGCCTCCTTTTTAAAATATTAATTGAGCATAATGGCTTGGGTCAATTTCTGGGTTCTCTGTTCTGTTCCATTGATCTGTATGTCTGTTTTGAGTACAGTGGCTTTGCAGTATAACTTGATATCCTGTCTTGTGATTCCTCCAACTTTGTTCTTCTTTCTCAAGATTGCTGTGGCTATTTCGAGGTCTTTTTTGGTTCCAGATACATTTTTGGAGTGTTTGTTCTAGATCTGTGAAATGTCAATAAATGATTTTAAAGGTAAAGAGTGACCTTTGTCAAGGAAGCTACAGGCTTAGGATGGGACTACCCTCCATGGCCCACATTCAGTTAGGAATTTTTACATAGAGACTACCTGGTCCTGCCTCTTGCTCTTTTGTATTTCTCTGCTTCTGGGCCTTATCCCTCTGCCAAAATCATGCTCCACCAGATACTTGGTCAGGCCAAGAAGTATCCAAGCTTGGTCCTCCACTTTGTATTTATTGGAGCTGAAAGTACTGGGGTAGCGCTGTGTGTCTTACACCTGGCATCGTTCAATGCAGATGTCTGCTGGGACAGAAAGAATAACCCAGAACCCTGGAACAATCGGGGTCCCAATGATCAATACAAGTTCTACTCAATGAATTTAGGTTACAGTAAACTGAAGAGAGAAGGTCCAGACTTCTTACTGAAATGCTTCACTGAACAGCTGCTTAGAATGAAGATCTTCCAGAGGCCATCTGCACAATTGTCCACTTACCCGGGAACTATTTCCCCTCTAAATGCTTCAAGTCATGTTGGAGTACTGTGTTGGGGCTTGCACTGATTAATAAATATCTGAAACTTGAAAAAAATAAAACCACCCTGTGTGGTTGCGTTGGTCTCTGGGTTTTTAAGGCCTGCCAAGTGGGCCTCCCCTGAGCTTGTTAGGGTTAGTTTGTAGTCCCTCCTCCATCTGCACTTCAAACTCTAGTGCAGTGGTTCTCAACCTTTCTAGTTCCTTGACCCTTTAATACAGTTCCTCATGTTGTGGTGACCTCCAACCATATAATTATTTTTGTTGCTACTTCATAACTGTAATTTTCCTACTGTTATGAATCTTAATGTAAATATCTGTGCTTTCTGATGGTCTTAGGCTCTATAGCAGTGGTTCTCAACCTGTAGGTAGCGAATGATAATGAATCATAATGTAAATATCTGTGTTTTCCGATAATCTTAGGCTCTATAGACTATCTGTGGGTCGTGACCCACCCAGGTTGAGAACTGCTAGCAGGGACGCCTAAGACCATCGGAAAACACAGATATTTACATTACGATTCATAACGGTAGCAAAACTACAGTTATGAAGTAGCAACGAAAATAATTTTATGGTTGGGGGTCACCACAACATGAGGAACTGTATTAAAGGGTCGCAGCATTGGAAAGGTTGAGAACCTCTGCTCTAGTATGTTTCAAAAAGTTTTCAATAGTGTAGGAAAATATGTGTAATTTATTATGCAAAAAGCCCTAATTTTCTATTTAGTAAATTGCAAAAAAGAAAGTTAGAAAAAAGCTTTTGCGCTTTCTACAATAAGCAGGCATCACTTTAAAATCAAATAAGCAACCTGAGAAAACCATGTCTGAGAACGGAGGGCCCTGGTTAGGGCTTTCTTCTTAGCCATCCCTAATCCAGCCTTCCACCAGGGAGGCTAGGAAATTCTCATCTGGGGTTCTTTGGAAATGGCAAAGCTGTAGGTGACCTGGGACATGGCTTAAGGTGGTTCCCTGTTGGGTTGCTTGTTCTAGATGGGAGAGCATGAGGAGAGCCCCACGCTTTGTCTAGTTGTGCTGGCCTGTGCCCCTCTGGGGGTGAGGGAGCCCAGCATGGCTCTGTAAGAGCTGCTCCCTGCCCCTCAGAGCTGCCATTTGTCAGTCCTGCTGTGAGATACATTTAAAAAAATTATGTTGTATTGATTTTTAGAGAGAGAAGAAGGGGCAGAGTGAGAGAGAGAGAGAGAGAAACATTGATGGGCTGCCTCCTGCACGTCCCCTCCTGGGGATCGAGCCTGCAAACCGGGCATGCGCCCTGACAGGGAATCAAACTGGTGATCTCTTGGTTCTTAGGTGGACACTCAATCTCTGAGCCACACCGGCTGGGCTACACAAAGGGACTGAATAGGACAGCGGCTTCCCTGTGAGGGAGCCTCTCGCTGAAGAGAGAACAGGTGGTCAAAGGAGCTTGAGTGTGGGTTGCTCAAGTGGAGAAAGGCCAGAAAGAGGAGGACGCTGTCTCTAAAAGGCAGGGCCCACCCAGGGCTCCCCATGCCAGAATCAGGGCTGGCTTGACCTGCTTCGGGCTGGGGCAGCCACTCACCCTGGACTTTGCACAGGCTTATCAGGCATTATCTTCTTGAGACAAACACCCATCCTTAGAGGAAGTTTTCACATTTTAAACAACTTGGCTTTAGCCCCGCCTTTCCTCTGGTTTGAGTCAAAGATGTGTGTTTCCCTTAACAATAACAACTGGCTTTCATTTTCTATGCAAAGCTCTGTGGCTCTCAAAATCAGCACAGTTTATTTAGAATTCATTGCCGCAGCTTAATTTGGGCCGACAGGACGTGGATTGGAATGGCGTTTGAGGGATTGTGGTCTGGAGCGATGTGTTGTTTTAGCTTAGAGAAAGAAATGAAATTTCCACTTGTAACTTGATGTGTTTTCTGTGCCTGGTGAGGAGTCATACCCGTAATTCGCTTTCATCAAGTAGGGGGCGCCAACGAGCTCCTGCTTGTTGTCCTGGCGCCTGAGACCCCTTCACTCAAGATTGTAGACAGGTCTCTGTTGGGTGTGACAAACTAAAGCAGAGGGAAGTAACTGGGTGTAAGTCATCTGCCCGTCATTTTTAGGCCTTGGAGTTCATTCCAATTTGGGAAGATAAATGAAAATTTCTCCTGCATCTATTTATTTGTATAGCGCAGATGGGCCTCACCCAATTTCCTGAACTCAGCTCGGCTCACCTACCCCTTAATGCCCGATTATTCCGTCAAGGCTGGAGCACTGCGGCCAATGGTGTGACTACATATGAATCAGTATGTTCTTTCTTTCGGAGTTATCCTTGGATTTCTAAATTTCTTTACTTTTTCTGATACATAGATGAAAGATGCTCTAAAGAATGCACTTTGGTACTGTCTAATATAGTCTCCTTAAAAGAAAAGTGGTTGAGCCCCAGCCAGCTTGGTTCAGTGGATACAGCGTCAGCCTGCGGACTGAAGGGCCCCAGGTTCGATTCCGGCCAAGGGCACATGCCTGGGTGGTGAGCTCGATCTCCAGTAGGGGGCGTGCAGGAGGCAGCCGATCAACAATTCTCTCTCATTATTGATGTTTCTATCTCTTTCTCCTTCTCCCTTCCTCTCTGAAATCAATAAAGAAATATATTAAAAAAAGAAAAAAAAGAAAAGTAAAAAACAAAATTAGAAGAAAAAAAAAGTGGTTGAAGGGTAACACGAGCCATGCTATTCTTAAAGCTGGGTTCCCAGGGTGCCTTGGATTTCTTCATTTATTCTGATAAATGAGTAACCTCACTGAGTAAGGGCTCTCAATGAAGTCAGCCCGCCTTTTGCCTAGACAAACCCTGGGCACCAAACTAACCCTTCTTGAATCACTAACAGAACATGCCTGTTTCAAGACTGTAAGTGTTTGGCTAAAGCTGCATCAATCCAGTGAGTCAATCAAACTGGCTTCGTTTTTAAGACGTTCCAGAGTGCTGGCTTACTCCACTGGTTCACATTTCCTGAGGAAGTGATTCATTCATACCCAGCAGAGGGGAAAGAACAACATCTGAAACGCACGTAAGGACAAGTGGATGAAACTCTTCTTTTCTGGCAAACCTATCTCTTGGGTATGAAACCTATACACAGGCTTCTGGCATTTCTCTACGTATCCAGTGTTGGAGATGAAGTTATTGAGGCTGCAAATGGGAGCGTGAGGACAGCTCCCTCCTGCCCAGCTCAAGGCCCCAGAAAGAGAGACTTTCTGCTCCCTGAAGGCAGACATAGGACCTTTTTGGAGTTGGGGATATATGTTTCCTGACTGAGGATTTGCAGCTAAAGCCACATTTCTGTGCCCTGCTCCAGAGCCGGCCATGGGGACCCAGGGCAGCTGGCGAGGGGCCTGCTCTGGAATCTAGTCTCCTCACTCTCTCCCTTCCCTGGCTCCTGGCTCCAGCTCTGTGTTTCCTTCGTAGGCATGGCATCTATTCCTTTGTTTAGAAAACATTCCAGTCTACAGGAAACCTCTGTGCCACTTGGGCTTTATTTTCTCTGACTAGGAAGTTTTATGGCAGCCAGATGTCTTGAGCCGGTCTGACCATTTTTATGTATTTTGCAAGAATGCTTGACTCCACCTCAACCTGAAATTCTGCTTAATTTAGTCATACCCATGACTAGGTTCCATTCATTCATTCATTCATTCATTCATTCATTCACTAGAGGCCTAGAGCACGAAATTCGTGCATGGTGGGGGGTGGGGGTGTCCCTCAGGCAAGCCTGTACTCTTTTCAATCTGGGACCCCTCGGGGGATGTCTGACTGCCGATTTAGGCCTGATCCCACAATCCAGGACTGCTGGGTCCCAACTGGTTACCTGCCTGCCTGTTTGCCCCTAACTGCTTCTACCTGCCAGCCTGATCATCCCCTAACCACTTCCCTGCCAGCCCAATTGTCCCAAGCTGCCCTCCCCTGCCAGCCTGGTAGCCCACAACTGCCCTCCCCTGCAGGCCTGGTCACCCTAACTGCCTTCCCCTGCAGTCCTGGGTCTCTTCCTCCCCCCCCCCCCCCTTTGCTTCTCTCCCCTGTTGGCCCAGTCTCCCCTAACTGCCCTCCCCTGCTGGCCATCTTGTGGTGGGCATCTTGTGACCACATTGGGGCAGCCACCTTCTGGGAGGGCATGACTGTCAATTTGCATATCATCTCTTTATTATATAGGATTCATTCATTCATCTATCCACTCCCTTATATATTGCACCAATATTTGTTAAATGCCAGCTATGGGCCAAATACTTATTCAATGATTTAAATGACGACATTTTATTCACTGAAATTCTGGGAGGGACTGGGAATGATAGCGTGACCCTGGAGAGAAGCAGGCAGAGGAGGACAGGGCTAGATGCAACTTCCCAAAGGATCAGGGTGCAGGGTGCCAGCTGGAGTGGGGCTTTTGAGCAGGGCATAGGCCCAGCTGGCTCTGCGAAAACAAGAGGGCACACTTCCCCCAGGACCCTAGTTGGTAAGTATACTCTGTTTTACCTTCTGTTTTGATGTCTTTCATTTAACATTATTTTGAATTTATAATAAAAATCCCTGTACTTCTTTTCATGACCACATACTTTCCATTGTAATGGTCACTTGGGTCTTTATTTTTTTTAGTTTTTGGTCACCTGGTTCTGTAGAGATCAGCTCAAATACCATTTTTAAATCAAATGTAAAGTAATTGTCAAGTTTATTTGTTAATCCTCACCCGAGGATATTTTTTCCGTTGATTTTTTAGAGAGAGTGGAAGGGAGTGGGAGAGATAGAGAAAAACATCGATGTGAGAGAGACACATGGATTGGCTGCCTCCTGCACTTATCCTGAGCCTTTTACCTCAGTTAGGAGAGATATAATAAGATCGTATGAATTGTTTTAGGACTTGAGTCAAATGGTGCACATTGGATGCATGTCATCTGCCCTGAGAGGACACGGTTTTAGTAAGCATTCCCAGTGTTTCAGAGCTCTGCATTTTCACCAAGGACTTAGACAAGTTCTCCACCCTCTCATTCTGTCTGCGTATCCTGAGACAGACGGATAATGCAGACAGAAGTACACAGACAGGTAA